AAAAAAAATTAACTGTCATTTCTTTGCTATGTCTAGTGTAATCTAAGACAAGAAAACAGTTAATAAGGCCTGCTTTGGTTACCATCAAGTCAATGACAGTATATTTTTATTCTCAAGGCCAGTCATACAACAATGAAACCAATATGAAAGGAAAGGAGGTTGGTGTTCAATATTGAAATAAATCCTAAAGCCCTGTATGTGAGTATAAAATCAAAATTTTTAACCTTATTTTTTCTGTGAAATCAGTAATTGGCTTTACAGAAAATAAAATATAAATACATAGTTAAACAAAAATGTTTTTAAAATTATAATTATACGTTGTCTTATATATTTAATGGCAAATTTAAAATGATGAGCAAGATTCCATATTATATTGTGTTTCAATGTTTTATTGATATAAATATCAATTAAAACAAATACTTATTGAAATCTAAAGGTTTATTTGTGGAATGCTCTATGCAGTTGAGATGAAAACCAGTTCAATGTGCATATGTAAGCAAACAGCAGTATGAAACATCCTAGATATTAAAGTTTAAAATTAATAGCTACATTGTGAGTTTAAAGCTTTAAATGGATTTTAAGGTTGATTTGGCAGATAAAGAGAAATGTTTAATAATGTCAGTGCTTGCAAAAGTTAAAACAACACTGGGAATTGCAAAAATGCTCAGTAAGTATCACTGAGCTGTGAAGTAGGTCAGTGAAGCTCACAGATGACACCAATGCAGGTAAAAGCAAGTTGAGGACTATTTTGCTGATCTATCTGATGTTCAATTAAGCTGTGAATTGAATATAAGAATTTGATTAAAGTGCCTATTTATACAAACTTATGAAAGAAAGGCATAATCCAAAAAGGGAGATATAAAAACATCAGTAAAAGAAGAATAAAAAAGGTAAAAAATTCAATTGAAATAAAATTAGTATTGATTCTAAATTTAAGAAGCCCCCTCCCTTTCATTTATTTTTTAAATGGTGACACGGAATTCGGATGCAACCATAAATGGGTACAAACTCAAGTTTGTTTAGTATTCAATTCATGTCAAATTGAACATTGAGTCAACATAATTTCATATTCAAACAAACTGAACTATATAAAAAATGCATTTTCATACAATTGAATATTTTATTTTTAAGTGTTGTGGAAGCAAGGAAGTGTCAAAAGTACAAGCTTTTGGGTCCTAAATCAAGTAGCAAAACATGTGAAGCAGATGTTTTTAAAAGGATGCCTAAAGAAAATTGAATGAAATGGAAATCAGAACATCTGAAGAGCAATTTTTTTCAACTGCTCTTTTCATTAACAAGTTTCATGCTACCATTAATGGGCCACACAGATGGAACAGCCATCTTTGCAGATTGAGACATTGACAAAGTGGAGCTAGTGTGATGTCTTGGGTTTGAATTATAGATGGTAAAGGAATGGGCAAGTCCTAGATGGTGTTAAGATGACAGTGCCAATATTTTTGAAGGCACACGTGTTGCCATGGTTAAAGAAACCAAGCTTGTCAGATTTTCTGTATGACAATGTTACATCACATTAGATAAAGAATGATCTGGATGATGTGGGTTTCAAAGATACTATTTTGATGAAGTGATTGGCTTCTTCACCTGATGTTAACCTAAAAATTTGTGGAGCATTCTGAAGAAAGTTTAGATTGGCAGACTGAAATTTACCAGTAAAGATTAACTTTGGAATGCTATTTTAGGTGCTGTGAAATTGTGCTCACAAAATCGATAAACAAATGACTTCTAAAATGTGTTTCAGAACTTAGAGCATACATTTGTATTAATGTTCTCTTTATAACTTTGACATCATTATAATGACACCATTTTCAATTTATTTATTTGTAATGTATATTACAAAATATCCTTTGAATATTTTTTGCAATATCTTATTACAAAATATCAGCATCAAACTATCAGAATATTGGACCCTTTTTTAATGCTAAAAGATGATGTGAAATAAAAACAATGAAAATAAAATAGTTTCTTTTGTCTGTTGTCTCAACACAAATGCAATTTGAGCTTGCTTTTTAGTGGTGTCGATACAGAAAAAGCAAAATTTAACCTGATATGATTATCCTCTGAACCCAATATATTTGCAGTCTATCTTTAAAAAGTTAGCAATGCAGTTTAATTGGTTTCTATTTTGCAAATATCTTCTCAACACAAATAGACTTGCAATATTTTACACAAACTTGTCTTATACTATCTTGTCATCAAGTGCCAGATCAAGAGTATTTGGTACTTTAAGTTAATCCTTAGATAAATCTTCCTTAATCACTGTCAGATTTTTGAAAATCATCTAATTTGATTAAATCAAATGGCTATTCTTATTTTACTGGTTTTAACATAAAACAGTATAAACCATGATTTTTTTTTTAAATTAAAAGCTTGTGAAATTGCTCATTAAAGACTGTTTAATGCAGCTCTATGTTATATAGGAAATTACAGTTGTATATCCAGCCACCAAGTTTCACATGTAGGAAATCTATAGATCATGAGATATGCCTCTTTTTCCTTTGATTTCTTGTTAAAAAAAATATGAAAATTCACATTTAAAATTCTGCTAAAATATTTTCTGCAATGTTCATATATGCACAGAATACTTAGTGAAGTACTCAGCTTGCCAAACACAAAGTAATATTGTGAGCAGATTAGAGAAGTTAGGCATTTGTCTTAAAAAACTTGAGTGTTTTTAGTTGTACTTTATTTGGAAATTTAATATTCTTGGACTTAAATATGCTTCTTAACACTGCATCTGGCATAATTTCTTTTTAGTTTTGACCAAAAAGAGAAAAAAATGATCTTTGGTCAGATTTTTGAGAAGTAGGTCAGGCCAAGATCTTTTCAGCAGCACCTCTTGTAAAGTACTTAACCATATTCCGTGTTTGAGACTAACATGAAATTTTACATCAAACTCCATCTTTTTAAATTTAATGCTATATTTATGGTATTTATTTAGTATATAATGGCTAGTCTCGAACATTTAAAAAAATGTTGCTATCGTTCTCACCGAGAGAATATAGGAGATATACAAGAAAATATGCCCAATTATCCTATTTTGTAGTACAAAATAGGATAATTGGGCATAATTTGTACTGAGTGAAATTTAAATAACTGTTCAAAGATTGCATTTTCATTTCTTTTCTAAGATTAAGAATTAATGTCTCACATGTACAAGGTCCTCCTATTCCATGGTGTTTCAATGTAAGAGACCATAAATGCAATTACGACTCATTTCTTCAGTGATTCACATAGCATTATTTTGCAAATTGATTATTTATCTGGAAAAATCATTTTTTTTTATTTATTGAGGAGTTATTTTCTAAAGACAGTAGATAAAGTTAAAGATTTTAAAAAAAGAAATTGGAATTTAATGTGACCACTGACTAGAATACAGATGGACTCAGCCTTGTAGTTCGTGTATCTGGTTTAAGTAAGTAATGAAATGAGTGAATGTCAAGGTTGTTGAAGAAGACCGTGAGAGGAGGGGAAAAACACTGGGAAATGGAAGATAATTTAATTCATAAAGCGAATTTATCAAATATTGGAATTAGAATGGTAGTTAACGTGAAAATTTTAGTTAGTTACAGACGTCTTGAAGTACAGTAACAAAACAATCAGTAACACCAAGACTGAAACAAGGGCACCTTATTAACGAATGAAAATACTCATCCATAAACTAAAAAAAATGACCACAATGAAAATATGGGAGAGTTTAAAAATGTTGCGTGTTGTTATAATTTATCGCAAAACACAACCTTTAAAGCAAAATCGCTTTACACTCAGTGATAGTAAAACAAAATGAAAAAAAAAAATTCTTTCTAAGTAATCCGAGATTTTCGTAGAATGACTGATACCGGCCGAAACGTGTAGCATCAATGTCGGATAGTGAGAGGAAATAAGAGAAGAAAAAAAAAAAAAAAAAGGAGGAGGAGGAGGAGGAAGTAAACGAAAAAGGAAGAGTAGTAAATAGAGAAAAGAACGGAGACAGAGAAAAACGTATATGTGAGAGAAAGAAAATGACGTCACGTTATCACGTGGTGCGAGTGTTCGCGAGATCGAGACTACGGGAGGAGGCCGCCGCCATTGTTGCTCCACACACACACACATACATGCGCATACAGCAGTCTTGAAAGCGCTGTCGTTAAAGCTGTTCCATAATACATAGACTGATCTTTTGGTGTTGCCGCTACCACTACTGGATCAACAGATTGGGGGAGGACACGAGATAAACACCCATCCACCCCTGTGGATATAACTTTAAGACTTTTTTGTATAGTTAAAAAAAAAAAAAATAGCCCCAAATACCCTAAAGCTAGTCAAATCTTCATATTCGAGGTGTATCTGACTCTTTTTTTTTTCTTCTATTTCCGTCGTCCGGTGTTCGCCTACCGCCATCATTGCACCACCACAGACAAAAAACGCAAAAAGGACGTTTACCGCCACCAGCAAACACAACCGGAGGAGTCCCCCGGTTGTGAAGACTTTTACCCCCGTTGGCCGTTCTCTTGGCCACGCAGCTAATCTTGCCAATCGACGCTCGGATACGTTGTATCGCCCCTGCAGTTTTTTAAGAACAAATAGTGTTTGTAGCCGACCCCCACCCAACAAGGTGGAGAGAAACCCTCCTCCGAGAAACCCCAAATCTTGGACTTCCTCCTGCATATTGCGATCTGACCAAGATCGCCGCCTCAAAACAATCCCGTGTTATTCTTCCTCGCATCCATCCATTGCTCTTCTACCACTGTAGAGCTATTTTGTTACCATACAATCACTCACGGTCTGTACTCTGGAGGATTGAAGGGGTTTACTTGGCCCCCATCTTTTTTTGTATTCTTTGGTTTCTTTTCAAAAGACAGAGTGGAGCTCCACGAAAGCTCCATTCACCATAGTCCCCTATCACAGACTTTCCTCATTACAGAGATTTGGCAAAACTCGTCATTACTACCAGTACAGACTATAATTCTGCTACATATTATTCTGGCCTAAACTCTTCTGTGATGTCTGCCAGTGTGGATCAGGTAGTGTATTACTCTCTTAAAACATCACTTGAGAAGAATATATATTATTAATCTCTTTACCTTATACTACCCTGTCACATTGTTGTCATCAATGAGAAAACGAACCATCTTCACTTGTCTAAAGCGTTTACTACCCCAAACGGGATTTACCAGATCGGAAGAAAGAATCACATCGCAAAACAATCTTTTTATCCGGCTTCTAAAACATACTAAGTTTTATTTGTACTATGTGTAGTATGACTTCGTTTTCTTCTATTTATTATATGGTTTTTATCAGTTATTATGTATCTGCAATCTATTTGCCTTGGAGATCTGCTTCCACGTATACAGTTTTCTTTTTTCCCTCTTAAATGCTCTTGACGTGTTATAAAAATTGTTTTGTGTCATGTCATATTTTTATTAAACTCTGCTTTTTATTTCACTTAATAGCTATTTTGTGTAAACCTTTTAATATGTATTTGAACTTGTAGAATAGCACTTTACTAGATGCTAGTAGAAAAAAGTTAAGGTGTAATTCAGATTAGTCAGGTAAAAATTTCATATACTTTTTCGTTCAAATGTGCCAATATAGAAAAAAATTTATTGTGTATAACTATTCATTTTCACAAATGTGTCGATGTTAATTTAACAGCATATGCGTTCAAACATTTTAATAGTTGGCTTGGCATATTACAGCTACCACAGTTTTATTGGATATTTGCAGGCTCACCCAGTTTTTGTTACTTTTTAAATTTAAATAGCAATTACTCTTAAATTGTCCAATCACACCTAAAACTACAGCTGTTAACATCACAGCTAAGCTCGTACATTTTCATGATCTTATTGTTGAATCATGTTCGATATTCCTTTAATTTTTACCAATAATTAACTTTGCTATTGTGAAGGCCATTCATTTTGTATTTCCATTGGTTAAAAAAAAGTTGCCATTCTTTAATCACAAACTTATCAGAAATCGTTTCTATTATTAGTACGTAATAAACAGATCCTCCATTTTATGACCATGTTTGCTTTGGTCACTTGGTTGTTATTTTTTCTTTACTGTGTAAAGAAGTTCAGTTTAAATGTCCTTTGTGATCAGATTCTTTTTCTTTCTTTTTTTTTTTTTTTAGAATATATTTAAAACAACAAAACAAAAAAACTTAGTGTTAAGTGAATCGTTTTAAAAACGAAAACCCCATTTTTTTTTTTATTTTTTTATATATAGCTAATCAACCTATTATGTACTTGTTCTGTAGGACTTACATTTTCATTTTTGGTGTTTATTCTAAACCCGGACATAAAACATTTTGTTTATGACTGATTAGTTTTACTGAATAAAGCAATAGTTCAGCTATGTTAACAATTAACATTTTCAATTTTCGTTACTGATATCTCGAAACCTCACTTTCTAGTTGATTACTTATTTTAACAGAACTTAGAACTGCAGCGATCGTTGTTATACAATACTTTTCGTTGCTAAAAATAAAATTATATGAAACTAGTAATCTAACTTATTATAGTTAACATAAAGACTTTATTTTTTATTGCTATAAAATTGCTTAATCAGTGTGTAGCTTGTCAGTCTATCAATGCTATTTACCAATTTAGTGGATGAGTGCAAAGGAGTTAACTAACAACTAAGTGGCTATTTGCCTGCCTACCCACCGAGTTGGTAAAAGTCTGCATAGATGCCCTGGTTACAAATACTTCTATTATGCAGTAGTTTATATATACAAAGTGAAATAATCTAATTTTAGGTTTATCAACTAAAATAACAGTTGTTCTCTATCAAACGTTAAACTCGCGGACAAGTAGTGGTTGATTGGGACTAGTAAGTGATTTTTGAGAGTTCTGGCCGCCATGACATATGGCGATCATAAGGATCATCGTGCTTACACCAGAGGTGTTCGACACTAGAACATGACTATAATCGTGTTACTGGTACTCTCGTAGTTGTGCAGTGCTGTCTCTTGTTTAATGCTTATACTATTACTGTGTGTTGTAATGTCAGTCAGGGTGTAAAATATTCCTACTATAGCTTGCTCAAAGCCTGACATGGTGTACTCTGATTGGAAGGTAAGAAGGAAGTTGTGAAGCAGCCATCACTGACGCCCGCCATAGCAGCACGGGACTAAAAGTGACTGGCACATTAACAAGTCCTTCTCTTCGTTTTTCCACCTTTCGATCATAACCTTCGTAGATGTAACACTATTAGCTTTATTAAAAGCTGCTTTGTCACATAGGTGCTAGCCTTCGGATTTTGTGTATTAATACATTCTGGTTTAGCAGGAAGCAGTCTCCCCGCCAACCAGAAACATTGTTACTTTGAGATTATGACCATGTATCTTGGTCTTTTTCTTTCTTTCATTTATTTTTATAAACTCTATCTAACCCGCCATTGACACCGCAGGACAGACACGCTCAAACTTATAGTGTGTGTGTTATTTTTTTTATTTATTTTTAGATCAAGATCGTTTTTCCTTGGTATCTAATCATTGATCCATACTTAGTTTTATTTTATATTGTTGCCAATCATTGTCAGACCTTAAGTTATGAAATGCGGCTACTACTGTTGTTTGTAATGATAGTGATAGTAGTGGTGGTGCCGGAGGTAGGTACGTCGCCGCCACCACGTTGGCGTCAGTCACCGTGCTGCTGCTACTTAATAACCACTACGACATGGTACAATTCTCTTTTCTTTAAAATATAAATATATAACAATATGTAATAACCAAACCATTGACACGATTTTTGCTGAGCAGAGCTTTTATTCTATCTCGTTTTTTTTTTTTTTTTTTGTTATTTTTTTTAATAATTATTATTATTATTATTATTATTATTATTATTATCATTTATTTTTTTTTTTATTTTTTTTAGAGCATGATATGGTCCCGGTACGCTGCCAACGCTACAGTTAGTTCCTTTCCTTCTATAACTCCTCAGTTTTTCTTGTTTTATTTCTTCTCTCCCCTTTTCATTGTTTCTCTTAACGATCTTCATATCACATTTTTCTCTTTTCGTTGTTTCTAATCTAATCTATTTTTTTTTATTTTTTTTATTTTTTCGACTTTTCCTTCACTCACTCAATATTTCAAATTTTGTTTGGATGATGACATCATTTGTATGAACTTATATATTTGTCACACTATCTGAAATGAAACTTGCACTCTCAACTTCAACACTCGTAAATTTATTAGTACTACTATAAAATATTTTAGTAGAAATATGTAAATCCAAAGAATGGTGATATATTACCTGTTTTCGATATTAGCTTTTATGTGGATTATTTCTTTCAATCTGAAACCAATTCTATCAGTATTCCCAACAATCCCTATTTTTTATTTTCATTCTCCACAATAATGATTGAATATTGAAACTTGCTAAAACAAATTTTAGATAAATAGAAATCACGGCTTCATCAATTTCTTCTGCCTAAAGTACTGAAAGTGTCAAAATTAAAATGATTTGTGAGGGTAAAAATCGGCTATAAAAGTTCAAATTGCAGTCGGCGCTAAAATACATCTGATTTTTCCCCACTTCCCTATTCACTAGTATTTGCCACTATGTGAAAAACAAAGTGAATTTGACGTGTAATAAATCCTGACCCATGGTATCACGGGTTACATAAGCAAATCAATTGGTTTGTTTGTTTATAAAATAAATATTTGTTGTTGTGTATACCTTAGAAATAGATTGGCTATCATGATTAAACAAGTTTTGTTTTTCGGCATGAATTGTGAATCAATTTCTAATTTCTTAAAATCGTCAAACATGCTTTAGCTTGCATTTCAGTGCGATTGTTTTACGAAAATGTCTTGACAAATCTTGAATTTTATGAGTAAAAAAAATCGAGTTTACTATAATCTTCCTGTAGTATTTTTAAAATTTATACAAAAAAAAAAGTTCTTGGAGTTTACGTTTTAAGTGTTTTATGAACTTTGATAAATTCTTATAAATCTTTAATTTACCAAAATTGTAGAAAAGCTATTATTGTTAAAACGTTATTAATGTTACAGATTGACAACTATTTAAACACTAGATTGCAACTGGTAGTCAATGTTACTTATCAGATGTGTTAATGAGAATTAGTGTTCATGGTCTAATTTAGTTTCTAATTGAAAGATAGTATTCAGATCATTATATTGAGTAACATTTGATACAGATAACGTGTTAACATAATAAGGATTATTTTTTTAATATGATGCCAGTTATACATCGCTAACATTCGGATATAATGGAACAGAAAGCAAATTTCTCCTGTTCTCTCAAACATGAAATGCATTCTACTTATGGATGTATTTGTGATGTTAAGTAGAGGATACAAAAGCCTGGTTGGAAGCATCACTAACACTCTTGTTATGTGATACGTAAAATTCCTGGAACACTTTCTTTTTCTTCAGCACATAAAATTTTTAAGGGATTCTTTTCAAGTGCATAATTATAATTATTTTTTGCTCTATTTTTTAAATAAGTATCCAAAAATGTCTATTTACTAATGCTAGAGTAATATGAATTTGGCATAAGTGTATGTAATTTAGTAACTTGAGCACTGATGGCCAACTCTTGTGCATGCAATTTTTTAAAAATGAAAACATTGATAGTTGTAATTTGATTTAATATTTGTATGAATTTATTGAAATATTTAGCAAAAATTTGAATTTTTCAGATGTTTCATAACATTTCATGGAACTTGTTACATTTGGCAATAGTTATAAACACTGAAAATTATAAAACATTTGCTTCATCAGTATAGACTAAAAAGTCATGTGACTAGAATTTGTTATATTTTAGTTATTAAATTAATATCAATAAGTATTTTATTTTGGCTGACTTAATTCAGCTCTATATTTTCATGGATTTATTTTTTGATAGTTATAACTGTTATTGTTGGTTAGGAATTATCACTTCAATCATTACATCTATGAGGATGTGATAAAGCTTTTTACGTTCACATTTCCAAAAATTAGATCAAATATCAGATTTTTAAAATTAAAAAATTATTTCAATTCCAACTTGGTCATTCTTAGAACTTTTATTACTTAATATACTGACAGCAAATTTATAGGAAGTATAGCAGATGCAAAGCTTTCCATAGTGTATTTCTTCATGCAAACTATTAAGTTCAGGGATTTTAGTCTCACTATTATAGAGAAAAAATGTAATAACTTTTAATTAAAAATCTATTACGTAATTTTTACATTATCACATCTATTCACAGAATTCTGAAAGAATTGTGCATTAGAACTCAAGTAGAATTCGATGTAAATCATCAAATTCTATTTGAGTTCTAATGCATAATTCTTTCAGAATTCTATAATTTCTTAACTCAAATTTGTTTTAGCTTATTTCATCATTCAATCTTTTACATTTAAGGGTAAAGGGATTATCAGTGGCATGTATTACTAATAGATTAAGGCTATTATGTATATAAATAATTTTTTCATTCATTACTTCTTTTAATTGCTATTTTTTGTCTCAATGAGATTTATTTTCTAATATCTAAATCAATTTTGGCATTGTTTTTAATTCACAAGTGAAAATTGCTTGGTATTAGAATACATTTGACAGAATAATTCAAAAACTTTAGAATTGTGACTTTTTTTTTTTTTTTTTTTACATCTTTGAAAGGTTTTAATTGTTCATTGTTTGCTGCATTATAACTACATTCTTTTTAATTTCATCTGTCCAGAATGTTTCATTAACATCTATAGAACTCAAAATTAAGTTTACCTGAAGTGATCTTTTAAGATAATTGTTTTTCTTAAGTCAAATTGGAAATAAATTTAAATTGAAAAATCTTTTAGATCATATTAATGTATTTTGTATTTATCTTTAAAATATAACTTATTTTCCTTCTGTATTGAAAACCTATTTAGGATTCCTTTTCTTCTACTTAGTTGGTAAAAATTCTAAATTATGAATGTAATGTATTACTGTTAATATCATTTGTGTTAATTTTTGAGCTTTACTTATCTTCAAACCTGATTCATAAACTTCTGCATGAAATTCTTATATCAAGTTTATAGAATCTTAACATTTATCTACATTTGGCGATGAATTTTTGGGTCATGTGAATTTTATGAAAACATCTGAAATAATTGATATTTATGAAACTATGCCTATTAATTATACAAGTCTACACGTGTCTGGCATTCACTGAGAATTGAATCTACCATTGTTATAATGGTAGAGTGGGGACAGAAAGGAATTTAACACAATTCAAATGAAAACCCATAATATTTTGAATTGGTGAAATATTTCCATTTCCTTTGAAAATATCTTAACAGTTTAACTATTGATTGGTGCAATTAATTTCTCGCACACACAAATATATACAGGATGATTGAAAAGTAACTCCCCATTTTAAAATACTTATAATTTATTTATTTAACTAGAATTTTTGTAAGAAATGGATATGAGAGGAAAGCATTTGGCATGAGGTTTTATTTAAAATTGGATATGGGCACCAGATTTTGCTACAAGCTTCTTGAGCCACCCAGGAATCACATCAACTGATTTCACCAGGAACTCTTGCGTTATGGAAGGCATAATTTCTTGTATTCATCCTTCTTCCAAAATCTTGGTTTCGTATAGTAGACTTGCTTCTTTAACCAATCCCAAAGAAAAAAGTCACAGGGTGTTCTGGCTGGCCACTCATACATAAAATAAGAAGTTATCTTTCAGTCACTTTGTGTGTACACACATTTATCTTGAAAGATTAACTAAAAATGAGCATAGATGATGAAAAAAGCAAAACATCCTAAACTTAATAGAAACGGTTTTACTGTCAAAGTATTTATTAAGAGGAAGGACCAAAGGTGTTTTTGGTTATACTTTTAATTCTTTTTGGAACTGTCAAAATTTTGGCTGAACTTTTTTTTTTTTTTTTTTTCCTCCTTATGTCAGTGGATGATCATGAATTAGTATGTGGAAATTTTAGCATCTTTTGTGTTGAAAAATCTATTGATTTTGAAATTCTTGCAAGAATCAAATTATTTTGGGATTCTAAGGCTTATTCACAAATGAATAAAAATTTTAGAAACTTTTATTTTTATGAAATTTCGATGAATTAATTTTTAGTAGAGCTTAATATTTATATTATAAGCAGAAGTCCTTAAGAATTTAAATCTTTTTTGTCAAACTGAACAAATTATAAAAATCTTAACTGTAAAATAAAAAATGCAATAAAGCTAGGACATAAATTAGAAAAGCTTCTAATCGCTCTATGAATAAAAAGTTTTTGATGAATAATGAATTTTTACATGAACATTTATATATAAATAAAATGTGTGTGTTTTTTAAATCTTAAGGTTCTGTATTAATTTGTAATGGTCAGGTGATATTATTAGGTAAAAACTATATTTACTAATCATAAATGGAAAAGCTTAACACAGTTCAATACCTGCCACCACTCACCCACAGTATTTTAAAAGAATTTTGAATTTATTTTGTCCGTTTTTTGTAAAAATGGATGTCCATACAAAACATTATCAGAAATAATAGTAGTAACTATAATAAATTTAAGACCAAAGTGTCTAATATTCAATGAGTAGTTAAAAAAAAAAAATTATATGAAAAAAGGTGCTCACATTGAGTAATTCTTTTTCTAAATATGTTCCCCCTCCAACCTTAGAAAAAATTTCAGCATCAAATTTCCATCTTGGAAATTTGTCAACCCCTTGTAAAAACACTCACCCTCATGTTAAATGCTTTTCTGTGATGTTTTAAGCTAAAAGTAATATTTGTTTCAGATCAGATTAATTAAACTTGAAATTAGTTAATCTTCCTGAAATAAAGTTTTGGAAAGTATATTTTATTTTTGAAAGGTTTCTTAAAGATAATTACATTGGTCTGAGAGGTATTGCTTTTCTTTTTTTTTTTTAAAGTGTGTGTAATATATATATATATATATATATAATGCGTGTGGTCGATTTGTCAAGGAGGTGACATCCTGGTGTTATTGGACTGGATTAAAGTCGATCACAGCATGTGGTGCATTTGGAAAGTGCCTGAAAACCATACCATGTGTTGGTTCAAGCCTTGTGAGTGAAATTGGTTAGACTGAGCTCTTGTGGGCCGTTGATAGCTGTGGTCATCATAGCTGAGGGCTTGAGCATGCTGGCCCTATTCAAATTGTTGGTCATGCTAGATAACATGCTCTCTCCCAGAAACTGTAACTAAGGTCTGCTCAGCATAGTTGCATTATAAACCACAGGTGTTGAGCAAACACAAATGTGCCTGAGCGAGCATCTGCAATAGGGATTGGCTAGTCACCCTAGTAGATGGGTATCCTTGAATACAGGTGGCCAGATATTATATTTGCATACATACATACATTGTGTGTGTGTGTGTGTGTGTATATGAAAGCTTCATCAGAGTATGAGATTTTCTGATGAAGCTGCAGTCTTCATACCTGGAATGATGGAATATTTAAGAGCATATATGTTTTGAAAAAAACTGTTCTTTTGATGTAAATTTTCCATTGACATCTGCTATTAAAGCAAAATGTTAACTTTTTGGGCAATGTTTTGCAACACAAATAGCTACAAACTTGGATTAGCATTTCAAAACAGTTGAGTCTGAGTAGGATATATTTTAAATTTATTAAAATTAAGCATGAAAATATTAAATGTTGCCAGCCAATATTTGTATTTGGTTTATTGATAAGTATACAGGGGTTAAATTTCATATTTGGCTGAATGCTTGCTAATGTAACAAAGTTTTTATTTTTAAAATTGATCTGCATCATTTCTGGATCTAATATGTCTATTCTCTCTTAATCTGTACTGTTTATATTTTTCTTATTTGTGTAACTTGATATCTTGAAATTTTACCAGAATATTTTGTAATTATTAAATCATACCTGCAATCTTTTAGCAATTTTTAACATTTTCACTTTAAATTACTTGACTAACTTTATATACTGTGTTGGAATAAATAGGGCCTCTGTGTATATGAAGGTGACCTTCACATTAGCCTCATTCTGAACTGGCTAAACAGCTACACCCCTCACTTTGCCACAGTGGGAAAGGGAAGAAGTTAGATATCTAGCTACCGGTAGATTAGTAATAACTAGTTAGACTGTGGTATATACTAGAACTCGCTTAGTTTTACATTATTCTTTTAATCTTTGTTAATGCATATCCCGCTGTAGATAGAAATTTCTTGATAAAACTACCTATTTTCTTTTAACTGCTGATAGTGTTTAGCCACATGTTGCATAATTCACTTGTGCTACTTTACAGAAAATTTACTGGGATGTGATATAGTTATACTTAATGTATTTTATAACAAGTATATTTCTTTTAAAGCATTAAAACCTTGATTTCATAATTTAATGTATATTTCATATTTGACTTAATGAAACCATAAATTTTTCCCTAAATAACTTAGATGAAAAGGTTTTAAATTCCTAACTTACAAAAAGATGTTATTGAGAAATAATGTTTTCTTCCATATCTTTCTTAAAAACTTGAAAAAATATATTTTAAATATGCTTTTTGAAGTTTAGTTATTGTTATCGAGTGTTTTGTCTTTTATACTGTATCAATAAAAATCTGAAAAATTGCAAATCCCTATGTGAGATGTATCCTGTTTTATATATCCTTTTTTTTCCAAAGATCTTTTTATTTTGATAATGTGTTATTTTACTATTTGGTGAATGCATTTTCATTTTCCTTTTTCCTTTTTTATTACTTCTGTGGAAAATTCAGAGAGCAAAAGGTCAAGCAAATCAAGGTGAGTTGTTTTTTTTTTTTTTTTTTTCTTATGTAAATATTAAAAATATTCAGTTTGCAAAAGTAGAAAAATGTATTTAACTTGATACATTGCACATTTTATAAATTAGAGAAAGACTATAAATGGAATACTGCTTACATGAAAATTGTTTTAAATATTGTAGTAATTCTTAACTAGATATAACCAGCAGTTTGGTAGTACCTATAGAACAGTGATAAACGTTGGGCTCACAATCCAATCAATTTAGCTAAGTGCTACAGAAACCTTAATTTGTCAGGAATTTAGTATGTTTTAAAAGGCATCAAAATGGTTAACCAACAGTCAACCTGTAGAGGCAATAATATGATGGATATATAGTATCTGACTATACTTTAAAATAAAAACTGATTTAGATTGCTAATAGTGTTAAAATCAACTTGTATAGTTAATCAGAATTTTATTGATAGTGAGCTAAAGCTTTATTGAAATCTTTCATTGTTTCATCATTTTCTGTATGTGTTGCATAGAATAAATCTAGTTTTTCACACAAGTGAGACCACTTGTGCTGTAATTACATTGGTCTTGTCCACAAGTTAATATCTTTTATCTTTTTAAGAACTAACTTGATAGGCATAAATTTGAATCAGGTGAATTGTTTGAAATACTATACATTTTATATATTAGATGTTTTCCTTTTTGACTTGGTGGTTAGCATGTAGGTACTGAATTTCTATATATTCTTTATGCAGTTGTGTTCTCTTTTATCTGTAATAATTTTCCATTACAGAATCTATAAGTGTTTATAAAATAAAGACCATGGTTTTTAGACCTTTGTTAATCTTTATTGTAGGAGATAATTGACAAATAGTGTTGATTTTTAAGCAAAATAAAGACAAGTAAAAACACCTACAATATATTTTTTGTAAAAATTATAAATCATAATTTTTTGCTATACTGTTCTAGTGGCCAACGGCTCAGCAAAAGAAGTAAAAAACGAGGATTTTGATCATTATCTGCATCAACCTCAACAAGTAAGTATGATTTACAGTATTTTTGTCTGGTGTTGACTAAAAGCAAACTAATATAAGATATTTAATTTAAAAAAAAAAACAACTTATAATTAAGGTAATAGTGTTTTTTGTTTATTAACATGTCATTAGACATTATTTATGCTATTAACTATGACAATTATTGTTTCTGTAAAAAATTAAATACCTGAAACCTTTTCCATGAAGCAATTCATGATTTGTGAATCCTATTACTGGGTTAAGGAAGAATAGTTTGGATACATTTAGCTGAAACAATTTACATTTTGACTTAAAATTATTTTAAGGATAGATTGATTGGCCAAAATTATTTACAAATAGAAATATATAATGTTACTTAATATGATCTGTTAAGATTCATAAAGACCAAAAGGACTTGTTTTAATGTCAGAAAGTAATAAAATGTGAAATAACTAAATTGATTATTCACATGTTTTACCAATATGTCAGTAATGTTGAGCAAGATGCAGCATTGGTTGATTTATTGGGGTAATGTCATAATTGTTGCTACCTGTTCACACTGAGCTGAATTATTACTAATCCTTGATAATCTTTTTATCAATGCCTGAATATTTGCTAATTTTATACTGAACTTGTTTATCTAATTTGATTCTCATAATAATGCTCAGTAATTCATGATACCATTGTGCACTTTAATGAGAACAATTTTTTTTATTCTTTGTGTCCTTTCAAATGGTACAATCTAAAACTTTTCCCCCCTCTCCAAAGAATTTTAAGATGTTATTGAAAGTATTCTAACAAAGCATAAAAACACATTACTTGGAATGTAGTATAAATGGAAGATTTTAAACTTGCCAAATTGTTAGGCATGTTACAGTGTGTAGTTATGTACATAATATTGTTAAAAGAAAACCTTTGATAATTTTTTTTTTTTTTTTTGTCTACACACATTGCAAAAGTTATATCTGATAATTTTTGCATTGTGATGGAAAAGGAGTGGGAAATTTATACTGGATTATTAAAATTGTTTTCTAATAGAAAATTTTCAATATTATGAATTTTATTATAAATTGATTCATTTTATTGAACACTAGTAAAACTAATGTTTCTTAATAGTTGAAGAAATGTAACTTTTGTTGAAATGTGTGACTAAATAAGATTGTTTATATTCTCTGCTTCTTTGCATTCTACTCTAACAATCTATGCAAATAAACATTTTTCATTTTTTTTTTTTTTTTTTTTTTTTTTTTTATTATACATCACTAATATTAGAGAGCGTGGGGGGGTGTGAGGTATTTCACAAGTCTTATGCACACACTAGACCTAACAAATTTTGGTTAAGAGTAAAATTACAATATAACCAATAGTTTTCAGCTGATGTTTATTGCCATTAGCCCCCAAAAAAATACTAAAATGATTTGAAAGAATTCACAAAACTATTTTATATATTTATCACAATATATTGCCTTTATGTTCTATACGGGTATTTTTTCCTCTAAACTTCAATCTTTAAATGATTTATAACTATGGATAATTATATTTCAAACTTTCACTTCTTTGCTTTCTGTACATACATAGAAAAACATAGCTAGTTATGTCATAAGCAAAGATATGACAAGTTTTAATTTTATATATAAAGTATTGTATATAAATTGTGTATTTAATATTAGCTACTATAGTTTTATCTGAATTGCTTATATATATATATATATTATTTTTTTTGTGATAATTTGGACAGTTATCACATTTATCTCTTAAAGTAAATTTCAGTATTAACATAATTTTTTTTTTTTTTTTTTTTTTTTTTTTTTTTTTTTAACTAAATTTTCTTATATTGATGGTTCATTTTTATTAAGATTTGCTTTAATTTACAAATTATTAAACTTACCAGAGTAAAAAATTTAAGACTTTATTTTTTTTACTTTTGGGTCATTCCATGTCAAAACACCAGCAAAAAGTTGAAATCTGCACCCACTGACACCAAATTACTTGAAATTTGGCACAAATGTTCCCCTTCATGAATTAGGAAAGTGTGCCAAATTATTTTGTGCTAGACTTTACCGTTCCAATTTTAAGGGGGGTGTATAGTTTTCCTATTTTGCCTCTTAATTAAGGCTGCACAATGTCACCAAATCTTTTTTTTTTTTTTTTTTTTTTAATTAAAGAAAAATACTTCCATACCTTCAATTCTGAAATTTGGTATGTAGGGCAAATAAGAAACTACATGACCCCAAAATCAACAACTTTTCATCTATGTAGCTTACAGTTTAAGTCTAACAAAAATGTCCTCTTCAATTTTCATATTTTTTGCCTAACATCTACAATGCCTGCTCAAGTTCACCAAAAAATTTTGTGAGGGTTTTAAGTCTACTTTAGAAGAAATGAACCTGCCAAATTTAGAGTTTTTTCCTATGTATGTGCAGGATTTTTGATAAAGATTATAATTAAGACAATCATTCTAATGTCCCATGACCTCTAAAATGTTGATATTGTGCTGAGTGTCTTCTTAAACTATTCAATAAGATTGCTTTTATTAATTTAAAAAAAATAATTTAAATATATTTTGCAGATATTACTTTTGTACAGATAGATTGTCTTTAAAAAGCCGTAAACCTTGCCTCATGTATGATAATCAACATTTGTAGATGGCACTTAACAAATGAAGTTAAAAGAAATTCTTTCTGTTTGTGTTTCTTTTAATTTTATTTTGGTAAATTTTCATAAAACAGACATTTGATATTTTTTTTTTTTTTTTTTTTTTTTTTTTCATTCTCAAAAAAGTCAGAAGATAAATGTGAATCTTTAAAACAATATTTGAAATTGGCACTAAACATTTGTATAGTTGAAGGAAATGCTTTCATTTACTTTTTTTAAATTATTTTCCTGGAACATAAATATTTTAGTTTTGTTTCATTCAGGAGAAAATCAATAAAAATGAATATACAAATAGTCTTTAAAAGATTACATTTTAAACTACACCATGCACTAAATTTTGTTGTGCATATAGACTAAATTGTTTTGGATATAATTTTTTGCAAAGATAATTTATCCATCTTTGACAAATGATAAACTCTACCATTTGGCTGTTGTAGGAACATCAACAGTGCACAGAATATTCATTAATGGTACAAAACATATATCCTTAAAATCTTTTTTCCACTAAAATGAATGTGATGGAAGAGCTGAGTGCATGAACTTAATCAAAATTTAGACTGTTCTAAAAAGAAGGAAAATTTTTTAAAAATAATTAAAAAAAAACTTTGGTCTTTCCTCTTAATAATAACATAAGCATTTAAACAATAAAATTTAGTTTTCGGCAAGGTTGGCGTCTTTTTCATCAAGCTATGCTCTTTTTTTAGCGATTTCGTGGAGGTACCTATCTTTATATGATACATTCAGTGGTTCCAGTAATAATTTCATATTTTGGTGGACAGTGCATACACATACAACATGTGTACCTGCATTACCAGCAAGGACACACCATTTCAGCCTTAGACTACAAAATTTTGAAAATCCCAAAGGCACTGTTGGGTTCTGTTCCTTGAATGCTCTGAAGAGGTCATTTAGGTTGCACAAGATGAGTTTTTTCTACTGATGAATATTACATTTAATACTAACGTAGTTTTTCCTGCCTGGCATCAGTCAAGTATATTCATCATCTTGGTAAAATGCTTCCACTAACTGCAATATCAGCAGGCAAAGACTTGCCCCTTTTTGGTTCTGGCACAGCTAAAATACCTCTTTCCAAACACAATTTGCGAGCATTGCGTACAATGTGTTCTGAAACACCAAACACATCCATGGCTTTTTTGTGTGACCAGTTGGTAGTGTCAAGATCTGTATTTTGATTTTAGTTGATTCCACTGTCTTCACTTTTGCTACAAGAAGCTCTATCATTTTATCAAAGCAGTTAGCTTTATCTAAAATCTCTTTTTTGATTTTTAAAGCCTCATCATTCAACAGCTCATAGTCAACATTTAATGACTTGGCTACTTTGGTCTTTACACATTGCATTGCAGAAGAAAATTTTCTCTTACCTAAAGTAGCTTTTCCTGAGTAATGAAACCCTTTTGTTTTCAGTGGAGAAATTCCAATAGCAGAGAAACATTCATTGATATTTCTCTTCTCCGTTTCTGCAGAAGTACTTGTATCAAACTCTTTTCATTTCCTCATCTGATACATGTCTTGGTTCTTCATCATCTGGAAGTAGTTTGTGGATTTGTATTTGACAATTAGGGCAAAGTTTCTTGCCTGGAATTAATACCAACTTAGCCTTTGCCTTGTCTGCCATCTCCAATGAAATTAGTTTCAAACCACCTTTGATTTGCTTTTTATGATTTTTAAATGGATTACATCTCTTTTCAAGCCATTCATAGTCGGTAAACAAGGTCTGCTTGTGATGGTAACAGATAGCCTGTATTTTATCCTCGTCAATCCTGTTCTACAGGCAATAAGCTTTACATCCATTGCATCCAACTGATCTACTGAAATCAATCCAACCTGTTTATCATTGAATAAACCCTGACATGTTTCAACTGTTAGCTCAGTACAAATAGAACAATTCATCTTTAACTGAAAAAAGAAACTACTGTACTTGAAATCCAGTGTGCAAGTAAAAAATCCAAGTAATTAAAAAAAATACCACCTTTCTCCTTGGATACTGGATGGTAAGTGACAGATGTTTTGGGACCAGACAGACTGGTACCAGCTCTGGTCAAAGGAAGGTCATTCAAAGTTCCCAATTTGACCTGATTTCATCTTTATCACATTTATGGCCTAGGTACCATAGATCTTGATCAAAGACAGATAAGGGACTAGATAAAAATGGAAAAACACTTTGATATAGTTTTAAACAATTGTGTTAATCATAATCTTTTTTTTTTTTTTTTTTTTTACACCAAAGAAATCATTTTTGTTTCATAAATTGATTATTTAAATTTGTAAGAAAAAATTCAAAACAAGAATTATTAAGTAGATCACACACAGTAATGAAAGCATTTCTTTCAACTTAATAAATATGTTTA